TGTTCTCAATTTTTTTTGTTAACCTATTATCCTTGAGTTGTATTACAAAGGATTTGAATTGTAGTGTGACTTTTTTTCTGATCATTGTCTTTTTTAGGACTGTGTCATGAGGAGGACGATTGGCAGTGGTAGTGTAGAAAATGATCTCTACTTCCTAGATCAACCGGACAAGCTTGCTCATTCTTCCACCACGAGTCCACTACCACAGATGATTTATGGCTGTGGCATCAGTGTCTTGGGCATCCTTCTTTTTATTTACTTAAGCATTTGTTTCTATCTATTTTTGTAAACAATAATGTGTCTGAGTTTCTTTGTGAGTCTTGTCAACTTGAAATACAACACAGAGTCTCTTTTGCTCCCAGTTTTAATAAAAGTTTAGTTCCTTTTTCAATAATACATTCTGATGTCTGATGTCCATCTCGTGTTATATCTGTGAAAGGTCGTCGATGGTTTGTTACATTTATTGATGATTTTTCTCGTAATACTTGGGTGTATTTTCTAAAAGACGAGAGTGAGATTTTCTCTCTGTTCCGCACTTTTGATAAGATGATTCATACTCAGTTTGGGGCCACTGTCAAAATCTTCCGTTTTGATCATGGGGGTGAATACATAGATACTGGGTTAGAGCAATATTTTTCTACTCATGGCATTATTCATCAGACCTCTTGCACCAATACCCCTTAACAAAATGGGATGGCGGAACGCAAGAATCGTTATCTTCTTGACATGGCTTGGTGCATGTGTTTCTCTATGAGTGTGCCTCAATCCTACTGGGGTGACGCTATTCTCACCGCTGCCCATCTTATTAATCATTTTTCTACCTAGGTCTTGTACAAACAAGCTCCCCTTTAAGTCCTTCTAGGTTCCGAGTACTTGTTTTATATTCCTCCCAAAATATTTGGCTGTGTTTGTTTTGTCCACAATCACTCTCTTACTCGTGGTAAGTTGGACCCTCGCTCCCTCAAATGTGTTTTCCTTGAGTACTCCTACTCAAAAGAAGGAGTACAAGTGTTATCACCCTCCTTCTCATAAGTGGTTTGCATCCATGGATGTCACCTTCTTTGAGTCCCAATCCTATTTCTTGTCCTCTCCGATGTCACAGTCCTCCCTTCAAGGTAGCCTTGATGTGAAGTGATACCTGTGATTCCTATGGTAGAACCAATTGTTCTTGCACCACCACCTCTTACTAGGACTACAGAGCCCAATGTCACCAAGGATAGGGAAAGGCAAGTTTACGTCAGGGACAAAGACAGATAGAAAGTTAACTGGATACAAGAGACCACTTCTGCTCACCCACTGTCATCTCCTGCTTCTGATGAGAGTCCATGTAACTTTGAATCTCTGGAGTCCACTGATCTTGATACTCCTATTGATCTTGATGTTCCTATTGCCAAGAAAAAGGGTGTAAGATCTTGTACTTAACATCTTATCTCAAATTTTGTGTAGGCTCTCATTTGTTGTCCTCATATAGAGCTTTTGTGTCAAATATTTCATCTGTTAGCATTCCTAACCATTTTCAGGATGATCTTGCTACTTCTAAGTGGAAACTTGTCATGATTGAGGAAATGAAAGCACAGGAAGAATGACACTTGGGAATTGGTTGAGTTACCTAAAGGCAAGCGACATGTGGGATACAAATGGGTGTATACTGTGAAACACAAAGCGGATGGTTCTATTGAGCGTTACAAGGCTAGACTTATGGTAAAAGGGTTCACTCAGACATATGGCGTTGCCTATCAAGAGACCTTTGCACCCATGGCTAAGTTTAATTCAGTCAAAGTACTTCTCTCTCTAGCAGCTAATCTAGATTGGCCACTTCATCAGTTTGATCTAAAGAATGCCTTTCTCCACGGTGACTTAGAAGAAGAGGTATATATGGACATGCCTCCTGATTTTGAGGATCATCAGATAGAAGGTAAAGTATGCTGGCTTCGGAAGTCATTATATGGTCTCAGTCTCCAAGGGCTTAGTTTGAGAGATTCATTCAGGCTATGCTTAAATATAGCTTCAAACAGAGTCAGGCAAATCACACCTTATTTGTGAAACATTTATCACGCGTGTGGATGACATAGTTTTTACAGGTGATGATAGTGAGGAAATACCTCTATTGAAGAAATATTTAATGAGTGAGTTTGAAATCAAAGGCTCGGGAAACTTGAAGGCTCCGTTTGTTGGAGCTTTCAAAATATAATTCCAGTCACTTTTGAAAACTCTTTGCAAGGCGGGAGAATTTGGGCTAACCGGTCGTCCTCCCACACGTCTAGCCAGTTGACAAGAGCAGTGCTTCTTTTTTTCTTTTTTTTTACAATTGGCACCTGGTATTTTTTATATTTTAAATAAAAAAAATTCGAAAATTTTTTAAATTTTTTTATGAGCTTTGAATAGAATTTTGAGTTGTGTGTTTGGTTATAAGTTGTAAGTTTTTGTATCAAATATCACATGTCACATCATAAATTCTCCACTCAATTCAAAACTCTGTTCAAAACTCATTCACCAAACAAATTTTCCACACTCAAATCATAATTCCCAAGCTCACAAACTCAAAATACAACTTTATTATCAAATCATATTTAGAAAACTTTACCAAACACTACTGAAGTATTTTCTGGGTATTGAAGTTGCTCGCTCCAAGGATGGGATATTTATCTTACAAAGAAAGTATGTGTTTGACTTGTTAAAGGAACTGGAATGCTTGGCTGCAAGGCCTGTGACACGCCATTGAAACCTAATCAGAAACTGGAGGATGATGAAGGAGGAGCAGCTGTTGATAGGGAGAGCTATCAGCGATTCGTGGGTAAGCTCATCTACGTATCTCACTCCCGTCCTGATATTGCTATTATTGTTGCTGTCGGTGTGGTTAGCCAGTTTATGCATGCTCATCATTAGATTCACTTCGAAGTTGTCATAAGAATTTTGAGATACTTGAAGTCTACTCCTAGTAAGGGTCTTTATTTTTCAAAGCATGATCATCTTCGTGTGGAAACCTATATAGATGCTGACTGGTCTGGATCAATAACTGAGGCTTCGTTTGGCAAGAGGCTATTTTAGCCAATTAGCCAAAAAGTCACTAAATTAGCCAAAAAGCCAACAACTCATACCAAAAAGTCAAAGATTCTCTTTTCTCTCTACTTTTTGCACATCTTTTCGTAATTAGCCAAAAAGTCATCCCAAACATACAAGTTTTTTTTACCTACCTTTTTAGCCAAATAGCCAAAAAGTTACTAAATTAACCTATTCCCAAACGAGGCCTGATAGGAGATCGACTTCAGGGTATTGCACCTTTGTTGGAGGCAACCTAGTTACTTAGAGGAGTAAGAAATAGAATGTGGTTGCCAGGTCAAGTACAAAAGCTGAGTTTAGAGCTATGACACAAGGGGTGTGTAAGCTCGTATGGATCAAGTTATTGTTGATTGATCTAGGTATTGATCAGACGAACTCCATGCGGCTATACTGTGATAATAAGGCCGCCATCAACATCGCTCACAATCCGGTTTAACATAACAGGACAAAGCATGCTAGATTAATCGCCACTTCATTAAGGAGAAACTCACTAATGGCACAATATGTATTCCATTTGTGCAGTCTGATGAACAATTCGCTGACAACCTCACCAACGGAGTTGGTAGTAAGCCATTGCATGACATCCTAGGCAAGCTGGGAATAAGAGATATCTTCGCACCAGCTTAAGGGAGAATGTTAGAATAGTATATTATTAGTTGGGTTATTATTCGATTGTAATTATTTTATGCCTTAGGGCTCCCTTGTAATTATTAATCTTCATTAATATAAAAAGGGATGATATCATAATCATTTCTTAATCCTTTCTCTTCTCTAAACCTACAGTTGATAGAACTAGAGGGGTAGGCATTCACTTGCAGTATGCGGAGGATACAATTTTGAGGGATTCGATTTTATTGATGTTGTCTTTGTTTGGATTTTGTATTTTCTTTTTTTGTTTCTTTCTTGTAGAGGATACCTTATCCTCATTTCTTCTTTTTGATTAATCAATAAATTTTGTTGTTGATAAAAAAAACAAAAAAAAAAATACAAAGTTATACAATGGTAATCTTTGTAGCTGTATTTGAGAGTTGAAATAACTCATGTCTAGAGAAAATGAGACGTGCTGCAACCGTAGTTTAGTGTAGACATTTCATGCTAATCGAAGATGAGTTATGTCTGATTCTTAAATCCATGAATTCTCTTGGAGACACTGTTTGGCCTTGTATCCATAATGGGTCACTATTGTATTAAGCAATTAATTCCCGAATTGATACAATGATTATGGTTATGCAACTAGTAAGAGATTCAAATCCCCTAGTCTTTTCATATCGAATTAACTATTTAACTTTCGTTTTTAATTAGCTTTCATATTTCATTATATTAAGTCTCAATATCTTTTGAATTAATTTAAGAAGGAATTTCCAGATTTAAAGCAATTTAGCCTTTCATTCTCCAAGGATCAATACTTGAACTTGCCATTATTCTATTGAATTAGGGTAAAGTTTAGTGTTTTATTTTTTTGTTAAAAACGACACAACCAATATATATATATATGGATTACCCTGCACAAAGTGAATCATTTGAATATAATAAATAAATAAATAATAAAGGCTAGTTTCACCCCCACCCGAAGCCCCCCCCCCCAAATATAGAAGATAGTTGACACGACCTACATTCAATCAGAAAAAGAAAAATGGCTATCTAAGTCATAATTGTTTATAGTCCAAAAGAAAACATTCTTGTGCAGCAAAAATTCAGAAGGCTGGATTGCTCAATTTCAATTCCTTGCACACCTAGCACATAATAAATTAAAAACTAGGAATATGCACTATGCAATCAGTCAGATTAGTGCAAATGTCTCAGTATCTCAGTTGTACAATCTAACGGCCCATAAAGAGAGGGCAAGATTAACAAAGATTATTCTGCAAAGCATGCATGCCTATGTTTGTGTGTGTGTGTGAGAGAGAGAGAGAGAGAGCGAGAAAGTCATGGAATTTAACCTTGAAGACGGCCGAGAATTGCACCGCTCCCCAAACCGGCAATAGCTGAATTCAGTAAATCATCAGGTTTAGACGCTCTACTTGCTCTCACAAACTCACGGGCACCTGAAACAAATAAACAAAGAGATTTAACCCAAGAATTATGTTGGCCTTTCAACCCAAAGTCTGTCTTAAAATTACTGTTGATGACTCCATCAATAGAAAAATCCTTTTTATTGGACACAATACTACTGTCTTTCTGTTTTTTTTAAGGTGCAACACAATAATACTTTCAAATCAACTAAAAAAAATGATGTTTTGTACAAGGCTGTAAATGAGTCAAGTGGCAGCTTGTCAAACTTGGCTGGAAAAACTTAAGGAGTTTCAAATTGTATTCAAACTTGGTTTGCTTCTTTCGAGCTGACATTAAACAAGCTTTTAGTGAATCTTACATGAGTCAAACTTGAGTAGCTTGATTCGTTAGACAACCTGAATTCTACAAATCTATGTACAATGTTCCATCTTAAAATGCCTTCCACAATGCCATTCATAAATTGTTAATACACCATGTTGTGGGAAGTAAAAATAATACCCAAAATGGGAAAGAGGTGCCATACTAAATCTAGAAATTTCACACAATTCTCACTTGCAATTATAAAGACCTAAAATAGTCACACAATTGAAACATAACATAATTAAGAGATACAGTGGCCATGACATTCTTCACTGAATGGAAAACACAGCTACACAAGGTCAGAAATCAAAATAAACCTGGGAGTTTTTAATTTCAATGCAAATAAGCATATGAAGGCACAAATCCATTATATAAGCCAAATTCTATAGCAAAAGGGAGCCATTAGCACCATGGGACGACCAGTGGCAAAGAATTTTCTACATGTAGAAAGAAAAACATTTATAAAACTAAATATATGTACATATGAATGTTAGGGTTCCGTATAAAAGATTGATAAATGAGTATGATAAGGATGGATCAACAGGGGTAGTCGCACCACCAAAAAAATTCTAAAATAAAAAAACATATTTTACCAGCAACTAACAAGATAGACTCAACATTATAAAGCCTTGCTTCCCAAAATTATGTATGACAATTTCAAATAATTTTCTTTGAGTTTGATCAAACATTAATCGTCGTGCTTGTCTATTTTTTATTTTTATTTTTGGATAAATAATGATTTATTAAGAAAGCATCAAGGAGATGCTGAACGAATACACAAAACGAATCCTCAAACAGGGACCTAACCAACTAAATCATCCACAAAGTCTAAAACAACAAATAAATTAGGATTTACTCGTCCCGACACCCAACTGTACAAAATACCACAAAAACGAGACTGTAACTGAACAATCAACTGAGCCCTCCCTTGGAAAACCCGACGATTCCGCTCTAACCAAAGCAGCCACATCAAACACAAAGGAGTTAACGCCCAGGCTCTCCTCCGGCGCTTCCCAACTCAACCACCCCCAACACCGAAGCACATCCAAAACTTGCTTTGGTTGCACCCACACCACGCCAAATAAAGAAAAAAACAAGCACCCACGGGCAAGAAGCAAGCGGACAGTGAATAAGTAAATGATCCACTGTCTCTGCATGTGCACAATACAGGCAACACCAATTCACCAAAATGTGATGCCGACGAATCAGATAATCAATAGTCAATAACCTACTAAATGCTGCCGTCCACACAAAGAAAGCCACCTTCGACGGAACACCAAAAACCCACACATGATGCAAAGGGAAAGACCACCCACCATCACCACACAAAGTCCCATAAAATGACGAGACAGAAAAAACACCTTTCGCATGAGGAGCCCGCTAGACCAAAACATCCTCCTCACAGCCAAGCCGAACCCCACACAAAAAGGCCAACAAATCCACCAACAACCCAAGCTCCCAATCCTGAGTCTGCTGACGAAGCACTACATCCCAAACCAGCGTCTCACCTCCACCACCCAAATATGAAGCCACCATCACATTAGGATCCACTGCCAACTGAAAAATCAAAGGAAAACGCTCCTATAAAGTGATCTCCCCACACCACCGATCCTTCCAAAACCGCACACGTATCTCATTACCCACTCGATATTGGATTTGATCCCAAAACCCAACCCCACCCAACCAAATACCTTTCCACAACCCACACCCATGAGAACCTCCCACCTTCTTAGTACTCTAATCACCCTTCCCTAACCCATATTTGGAAGCCATCACCCTCCGCCATAACTGATCCCGTTCATTAAAAAATCGCCACAACCACTTCTCCAATAAGGCCGAGTTAAATTTACACAACCTTCTCACCCCCAACCCCCCCTCCTCCTTAGGACCACAAATCTGGTCCCAACTAATAAGGTGATACCGAAACTCCCCACCAACACTTCCCCACAGAAAATCTTGCTACAGCTTCTCCAAACGACGAGCCACGGAAACAGGAAGAACATCGACCGACATAAAATAAGTCGGAACACTACTCAAAACACTCTTCAACAAAGTCAACCTCCCACCCTTCGACAAATATTGCCTCTTCCATCTTGCCAACCGACGCTGTACCCTTTCCAACACCCCATTCCACACCCTTTTCGCCTTATAAGGAGCCCCCAAAGGCAAACCCAAATAAGACACTGGCAAATGAGACACCTTACAACCTAAAATGGCTGCCAAAGTCAAAAGCTGGTCAACCGCCCCTACCGGAATTAACTCCGACTTGGCCAAATTCACTTTCAAAGCCAAGACCGCCTCAAAACAAAGCAAAACACAGCGCAAATTGCCTACTTGCTCCAAATCAGCCCCACAGAAAATCAAAGCATCATCAACATACAAAAGGTGAGAAACACAAACCCCGGCCCCCGATGAAAAACCTGCCAGCAAACCAACCTGCACCGCTTGAGACAACAACCGACTCAAGACCTCCATGACAAGAATGAACAGCAACGGGGACAATGGATCCCTATGCCTCAAATCTCGAAAAGTCCAAAAATAACCCGCCGGCATCCCATTCACCAAAATAGACATTCGGACCGTCAAAATGCAAAACTAAATCCGTCGCCGCCACTTAACCCCAAAACCCATCTGGTCCATAACAAACATCAAAAAATCCCAATTGACATTATCATAGGCCTTCTCAATATCCAACTTACAAATCACACTTGACTGCCCGACTCGCAGACGAGAGTCAACACACTCATTAGCCACTAACACTGCATCTAGAATCTGGCAGCCCTCCACAAAAGCGTTATGTGACTCTGACACCACATCCCCTACTTGCAACTGAAACCTGTTGGCCAAAACTTTCGATAGAAGCTTGTACACACTTCCCAACAAACTAATCGGTCGAAACTGGCGAATATCCTCAGCCCCACCCACCTTAGGAATCAAAGCAATAAAAGTCGCATTGAAACTCTCCTCGAACTGGCATGTCTGATAAAATTGCCCTATAACCGCCATGACATCCCCCTTAACAACTTCCCAACAATGCTAGAAAAAGGCCATAGTGAAACCACTTGGCCCCGAAGCCTTATTTTCACTCATCCCCTTCAAAGCACACACCACCTCCTCTGAGAACGACTGCTCCACCCCCTCAAGATTCGAGAGCCCACTAAACACCACTCCATTAACCCCCGGGAGCCATCCCTCCACTTGATGCCTAAACAAAAGCTCATAAAAGCCAACAATCCCCTCCCGAACCTCCTCCTCATTCGTCAGCTCCACCCCATCCACCTTAATCTTCCCAATTTGATTCACTCTCCGATGGGCATTTGCCATCCGATGAAAAAACTTTTTATTACGATCCCTTGCCTTCAACCACAAACACCTCGATTTCTGTCTAAAACTAACCTCCTCCATCTGAGTAATCTGAACATAATCAGCCTACAAGCGCTCCTTATGAACCACCTCCTCGTTAGACAAACCCACATCAGTTTCCACAGAATCCAATATCTGCAATTGAGCCAACACCTCCTTTTGCCCATCCAAATGACCAAAAACCTCCTTATTCCATTGTTTCAAATCTGCCTTCAGCATTTTTAACTTCAGAGCCAGCCTATGGCTCAGAGATCCAAACACAACATAACTCGCCCACCATTGCCTCACCCTATCTGCAAACCCATCAGAACGAAGCCACATATTCTCAAAACAAAAAGGCAAAGGGCCCCTCTGTATAGCCCCACCATCCAATAGAATAGGCCAATGGTCAGACACCGGTCTAGACAAACGCTGCTAAACTGCCCCTGAAAAATGCTCCTCCCAAGCTTCTGTCACCAGAAAACGATCAATCCGAGAAAAAACACAGCCCCGAGACCATGTGTAATCCCCCCTTGTAAAAGCAAATCCACCAAATGCAACTCATCAGTCAAATCCGAAAAAGCTCGCATGATACCCGTCAAACAACCCCCTCCCGACCTTTCTGCCGGCCACCGCACCAACGCCCAGCGAAAAGCAACACTCTCTAACTCTTCCAAAAACAGCCGCCGCTCCACACATCAAGCAGTCCATACACCCTTGTGAACACCCATCGAAAACCATCCTTTACACATCTGAACAAACAGGTCACTGAAAAAGCCCCAACCTCCTCCTCTCTCACCACCACCCTAGTGTCCTAACAAACAAGAATACCCCTTGCCACACCAAACGCCGGGAGGAACACCTACTGAATACACTGACCACCCCAAATCTCCTTAACAACCTCTCCACCCACACAATCCGTCGTGCTGGTCTATTTTTGCCATGGGATATACACATTTAAAGTAATATGTGCGCTATTAGTGTTATATATATATTATCTTGAGTTGCTTCTATTCTAATATTTAAAACTGAATTCAAAGATTTCACTCAAAGACTATTCTTACTTCGATTAAATCAACAATATTGCCTTTCTTTGGTTCAATATGTTTGAAGAACCTTTATTTTACAAACATCTCACTAGTGAAACAAAAAAGACAGTTCAGTGGATAAAATTTATCATAATATTCTTTGGATCAGTTAAACCAACTTCCTTTGAGGCTTCTAGCAAATTACATACAGGGAACTCTCTTGAGGTTTTCGACTTACACTGCCTTCCCTTACTTTACTTGACAATTTACAGGTGTCTCCCTTCTATTAATTTGATCCATAA